GAACACCTGGGACAGGTGTGACAGGTGAGATAGGGACAGGTAAGACAAAGACAGGTGGGACAAAGGCATTGGAAACATCCGTTGCTCATGTCTCAGGAAGGACCAGGTGTACCCCAGGTGTGCCCAGGTGTGTTTGGGTCTGTACCCAGGTGTGCCCAGGTGTGTTTCTATCCCTCTCAGGTGTACCCAGGTGTGTTTGGATCTGTACCCAGGTGTGCCCAGGTGTGTTTCTATCCTTCTCAAGTGTACCCAGGTGTGTTTGAGTCTGTACCCAGGTGTGCCCAGGTGTGTTTCTATCCCTCTCAGATGCACCCAGGTGTACCCAGGTGTGTTTGGGTCTGTACCCAGGTGTGCCCAGGTGTGTTTCAATCCCTCTCAGGTGTACCCAGGTATACCCAGGTGTGTTTCTATCCCTCCCAGGTGCCCCCAGGTGTGCCCCCAGCTGTGCCCCCAGGTGTGCCCAGGTACCCACGTTGATGCAGAAGAGCGTGGTCATGCGGTGCAGGCGTACCCAGGTGTGTTTGGGTCTGTACCCAGGTATACCCAGGTATACCCAGGTGTGTTTCTATCCCTCCCAGGTGCCCCCAGCTGTGCCCAGGTGTGTGCCCAGGTGCGCCCAGGTACCCACGTTGATGCAGAAGAGCGTGGTCATGCGGTGCAGGTAGTTGGGGTCGGAGGCCATGGCGAGCACCTTGGGCACGATGGTGCCCTGGGCCCAGGTGTGCCCGAAGCGCTCCACCAGCTTGCGCAGGTTACTGGTGGCAGCCTCGCGGATGGCGTACACTGCAGGGGGGGGAGACACCAGTATGAACCAGTATAAACCAGTATAAACCAGTATGGACCAGTATGAACCGGTATGGATCAATATAAACCGCTGAGTACCAGTATAAACCAGTATAAACCAGTATGGATCAGTATGAACCAATCTGAACCAGTATGGAATGATACGGACCGGTACGGACCAGTTCGAACCAGTATAAACCAGAATGGACCAGTATGGACCAGTATAAACTCCTATACACCAGTATAGACCAGTATAAATCACTATGAACCAGTACGGTCCAGTATAAATCACCAGTAACTACCAGTAGCTCCCAGTAACCCTCCCAATAACTCCCAGTGGCTCCCAGTAACCATCCCAGTAACTCCCAGTAGCTCCCAGTAACCCTCCCAATAACTCCCAGTGGCTCCCAGTAACCATCCCAGTAGCCCCCA